TCTCGAACCTGTCGCATACCAGATTTTTGCGTAGCTGTCAGGTTCGAACTAAATCTTTTCGCGCGGTAGTGGTTAAGGACAGAGGACTTGTTCCAAAGATCGACTTTCTGTTAACCTCGGCACTGGATTATAAATGCGTCTTTTTTTTTCTCAGCAATCGCGAGGTTGTTAAACAGTGTACGTTTACTTCCGTGTAATAGCAGACATACAATACATTTGTAGTTGACGTCTTGGCAGTATCTCCTTCTTCAGAGCCTGGAAGGGCGTAGTGGTAAGCAATCTACTACGTCGTACGCTTCAGTAACACATACAGAAAGATGAGAATCTAAATGGTAGACACACGGTCAACATCTTCTCGAAAAACTCACCGTTTTTTTATGTCCCTCTCACCAAGGAACTACAGTCGCTTAGAGTGGCATATATATCGCAATTGATTACTGCAATTACAAGAGATCAGGTATATCGTACCTGAACTCATGCAATCACCGTCCTTGCCAAAAGGGCAAATTACGCATTCATATAGACAGTCGTGCAGGAGGTCACGAACTAATTGACGACGGAGAGCATCGGGTGGTATTTCTACTATCGCAACGGACTCCTCTAGAACTGCCCTTCATAATACCGTTTTGTAGCTATACTTACTTTATCGCTAGTAAAGGGCAGCATAAACGGGATTTCCTTTTAGCCAAGTGTTTGGGAATAGCGGCCGGAGGTCGATAACGGGTGCTTCTATTCTAGACATGAACATAATGGCAAGACTTGGTGCCAACCGCTGTCCCATTGCCAACGCTCTCGTTTGCGCGTAAAATTTCCCAGACCATCTGAAAATCGAGCAGTTTAGGCACTTTTTTTTAAGAGGGCCATAAGCTGCTGGATAGACAAGCCATCCATATTTATTCATCCTTCATGGTCAACAAGAATTTGGAAGATCGCTTGCATTGCGGAGTCATTCGATACGTTACTGTAGAGTGCGAAAACATCGAAAGACTCCATTATGTACACATTATTAGGAGGCATGCTACGTAGACGTTCTAGCAACATTTGGGTGTTCGTGAGCTAAGCTGGGATGTGGTTAAGCAGTTGGGTGAGTGTTAAGCTTAGAAACCATGTTATTCTATCCGTTGACCCGACTACGCAGCTGATGATGGGCCAAACCTTGTGGATGTTGGGTTGGTTGACGCAAGATCATTAGCTGATACTTATTGAAGTGTTTTGATAAGTAAGTGTAAGACGGGGCACCTTGGTCTATCTATTTTATAGTGAAGAATAACAGATGATTTTAAGCCTGCTGTCTTTGCCGCTTCGACCCATTGGCTGTTAAGTTTTCGGTATTGCCTTTTGCATTCCTTTCCAGATGATAGGCGTTAAAGGCTGCCATCACTGAAATGCACCTCTGTTATCTCAACATCTAGCTGGCAAGCAATAACTAAAAACTCTCTCCCTTATCACTAACTGGTAGTCCAACGGTCTTGGAACTAATTAAATTTCTAACCTTAACCTTTTTATTTACTGCCTATTTTTTTAACGGCAAACTATGTTGCGAAATATAACTTCTATTATGCTGAGATTTTTTAGGCAAAACTCCAGATCACAGGTGTTTGTGGTGGGGAACGAACGCACTATTTTCCTTTCCGGGGAGTAACGCATTTTGACATCGGCGCGTTCGTTTTCCACCGCAAATACCTGCGGTCCGGAGTTTGCAAATAGCTCAGTATTATAGAAGTTAAATTTCTAACTACTAGCAGACCACATTTTTGTGCAGCTGTAAGATTAGAGACAAATTTTCTACCGCGATAGTGATTTAGGGTTTGGTGAACGTTGTCCGAAAACATGCGGAATTTCGTATCAACTTCCACGTTAAGGTCCTGCTTCGTAAAAGCGCTCTAGGAGCTTCAATATATCTCGCTTAGTCTGTCAGCAGAGTCAACCATGAAACTCGTACAAATTGCATGCTATCCTACGCACGGCTGTCATGGAAATGGGTTGTGATGGTGCAAAGCTTGGGCCGAATTCTAATAGTGAGCGCGCGCTTCCAGGCATAGTCATACTTCAAGTATGGTGACAATGGATTTTCTTGGTGCATTTTCAACCACATTTTGACCGCAATCAGGAGCGCGAAAAATTCCTTTATGGTTTCTTGAAGTGGAGATGTGTGAGTTACCCAAAAGATTCTCGAGCTTTCGTTGTAGAGTTATTTTGGTATTACGCCAGTCAATATTGAACGTCGGCATTGGCTCACCAACTGTTCTAGTTAAAAGACGATCTTCCAAATACGAAGCACAAAAATGTTTCTTCGACACACACTTCATTCTGGAGTACATTTCGTTCCGCTTGTTTCGTAGTGCGGCTCTAAGCAGGTCCATTTGAATGCTTTGTACTTGTTGGGAGCTTGTCTGTTAGCTAATTCAGATGATGTTTAGAAGACGGCACCTCGAACATTTTATTCTGAAAATGTTTTTTTCTTCAGGGTTCTACAAAAAGGAATAGGAAGTTTTTGTGGAAAGTATTTACGCTAAAGTGCGACCTCCTTCCCTTCAGTAACCGAACGTTGTACAGATTCGTCTCAACTCCAAAATATTGTCATGAATTCACCGGCACTAAAAATAAGACGTTTTTTTCTGTTTTCACAGCGCAGGTAATATATTGTCGATGTTACCTTTAGTAAGCGAATCTTAGACAGTGATGAAAAGACGCCAAAGTTACCAAATTTTCAGTGGAGGCTCACATGAGTGCTTTATTTCACCTAGAAATTTGTTGGTGAAATGGTACAGTTGCTTGGGAAGAATAGCTCGTTCTCAAATTTTTTTTTCTATGTAGAATTCTTTTTCCCATATTGGAGTTGCAACCAACTGAATTCTGTGTCAACAATAATGATTTAAATCTGAACCAGTATGTATTCAAAGTGTGTCTTGTAAAAGAGTACGACAACCAGTATAATTGCTTTGAAAATCACTTAAGATGTTTAAAATCAAACCCATTCTAAATCATCACACAGTCACCACAGTGAAAACCGAAACTCTGAAACTTGCGCTTCGAGTTTTGAAACAAATAAGGCAGTCACTAAAAGAGGAAATCTGAATAACGTGGGATAATACAAAGCACCGGAGCGTTAACCTACGTGAATTGCTGGAAAGTGCGGTAACATATTCTTTTGGAGACCTGAATATTTCTTCGTTTTGATGGAGTTAAGCTTCTTTTCTTTTTCTCATTTTACGAATACGAAGAACTACGTCGCATTAAAAAGGAACAGATTTCGAACCTTAAAAGGAATCACAGTGGCTCTGATGGAGCGAAATCATTAACATGCTAGAAATAAATATTTGTGACAAACTCGTTCAAGCTTATCAGCAAAGAAAGGCATGCCCATGAAGTCTTGTATTTTCCGTGGATGTTCTGTTTCTCTGATATCAAAATTTCACATATATTTTTTAATTGACAAGACAACGCTGAGTTGACAGAAAGTGTGTTCAGCTAACGTTTCGACATCTTTTGCGAACAAATGTGGAACTCGAAATGGTACAGTTGTCCAGTTCCGACGTGATGATGTGCTCGATGGCATTAAATCTTCACAGTCTGGTGTGATAAAGCTACAGTTTGACACTTTCAGTGACGCTGAGATATGCAGGTGCCATCTTTTGTGGTTGTAAATTACGAGTTTAGGGTTTTCTCAGTAGATATCCTCTTGTAATTACTTAAATCTCTAGTCCCCTCTTTGTTTAAGCGTGCCGCTATTTGTGACAATGCACGCTTCCTTGCTTAATATGTTGATCTGAATGCGAAACAGTTAAAGGAACGCATCAAGGCTGTGATTCGGATGCCACCATTAAAGCGAAGATTCGTCGTTGATCATGAATGCACTATTGCTTTTCTCATGAAGACATCAAAGATGTTTTGCTGGTTATCAATTGCGGCGTACAACAAGGAATTCTCCCAGCAGGGATGCTATCAAGATGTGAAATTTGTAGCGGACATATGAAAGCTCGACAAAGAGTTTTAAAGAGAGTCCACGTCAAAAGCTCTGAGTGCTCTTATCTGGCCGATGGTGGCGGACACTTGCTGTGATGAAGTGGAATCGGTAGTCAACTGTACAAAAGTCTATGAAATGCTCAAGCGAAGAAGTATGTTTAATCAAAAAGATAGCAGTAAAACGCGAAATTTATTGCTACCACGTTTATTTAACAAGAGGTATCGAAGGATTTAAATTTGGCGCTTTTGTGAAAATGTGGCGCTATGCCATGGCACGGTTCAAATTTGATAACTAAAAATTGAAGACAAACGATAGGAACTGGAAAGCGTAAATCAGCAGAGTAACATTGGAAATCTATTCGCAATTTCAAGCACTTCATTATAGGCTGCTCAGCCTTCCAGCTAATGAAGAAAAACTTTTTAGTAAAAGGGAATTTGAGCATAACTGTAAAGAGTCGTAACATGTTCGACATGCATCTGAAAGACGGAGCCACATATGTCAAAGGTTGGATTACTTTTCAACAACTACGATCATTCATTTAGCTTTTGCTACTATCTCCACGAACCTCCCTCATATGAGGGACCTCGAACTAAGCGATGCTACGTGGCGCGACTCCAGTGTGGCGCATGGTGGGTTAATCGCGGACGAAAAGCAACCTACGCTTCTTTGAGACGCAGGTGGTTCCAGGAAATAGACCCTCTGTGTCTACTGCGCTGATATGCGACATAATTTCTGCATAATTCTGCATAAGATTAGCAGTTCAGGCACTACTTTAAAAGCGTCACAACAGCTGAATCGAGAACACATACATGTTCACCGCTCCTTCGTGTTGTATAAGGAGCTCGTGGTTGGCTTGCTTAGCAGAGCCAATCGACACGTTTGTATAAGGTGCGGTAGCGGTCAACACAAGAAAAAATTTTCAAGTGATTTGAGTTGTTGAATGAACAGTCGGAGCACAATAACATCACCCGAGAGAAACCGAATGGAAACTGGCTTCCATTTCTGAACGTCAAATTAACCTGTCAGAATGCGGCTTCATTGCGAAGTTGTAACGAAAGCTAAGCAGTAAAATTATTTGGTTTATTACCTTTCCTCTCATTCCTCTCACACGTAAAGTGCGCTTTTGAGAAATATCTCTCGAACAACAAATACATTAACGGCAACTAAACTGTAGCGCTGGATAGGTGTAGGGGAAGCTCCAGGTCCCCAAACGATAATTCTAACCACAATAAGTGCCGTTTATCCTGCCCTTCATTTCAAATGAAGTAAGTGCAGCTATAAAACGCTGTTTAAGAAGAGCCAGTCTAGATAATTCGGTAACAATAATCGAAATACGACCGAGTAAACTAAGACGCTAGCTAGTTCGTAACATGACCGTCTATGTGCAACGCAACATTGCATAGCCCCAATGGTAGAAACGATGACTGTGTGAGCTCGGGTACTCTTTATCTGATCTCTTATAAAGCGTGCAAGAACAAATACATTGGCGAGACGGGTTGTTCACTCTGCGTCAGTATAACAGAACACCTAGTCGGTAAACTTAAACCACATACTCCACAAGGCACGTGTGAACACAGAGACATAACGTGGAAGACTTTGCAGTAACGTTACGATCCATGAGCAGGGATCAAAAATACGAGCGTGCGAAATTCTCGAGGCATTCCGGGTCAATTTCAAGAATCCGAAAATGAAATGCAGGTAGGAATGCCTCATTATCACAAGTGATATTGGGCAGTATGTAACCCTGTTATTCTGATCGGATGGGCATATTTCCATTCTATGTGAAGTCTGTGTAATTGTTCTCCATGTGAAAGAATCAGTGGAAGACTCATAGAAAGCGGTAGGTGTGCAAGGAAGCTGTTTTGTGCTTAATGTAATTGAAATTTTGGTTTAGCATTTTCTCCATTTGTTTATAGAGGTGTTTGGCTAGGTCGATAGCGGTCAACCTGACCCATGGTGACCCTGAGAAGGGCGAAACTCGCCGTAACGTTAGCTTGTGTGTAAATAAAGAAATAAAATAGCACCTCGTGTTTGCTTAACAGAAATATAAAGAATCGTTTAGTGAATGTCGAGATTAATAGAAAGTTGGTTGTGGAGGTAGCTGGTTTTGACTCAGCTGAGATAAAACCAACAATGGAAGCCTTGAAGAGTCAAGGAGTCCCTGCCGAGTGTTTCTCCACACAAAACAAAATTTGCTGTTGTTGACTCCGTGTTTCATTTTCGTAATGGCTGCAAACCCAGCACTGGTTTAATTCATTTTGCAGATGTTTGCAAAGAGATGGAAAGATTGAAGTATTCCTTTCTCATAGGAGGTGGATTGTTCAATTATTGTCAATCCTCCGATTCCAAATGTAAGACATTATGTATCTAGAGCGCGGATGACAAATCAGGAGCGCCACCGGCGCTGTTTCACCGTCGTTTTCTTCATGAGACTTTTATGAGCGGTGAATAAAGCTGAACAAGCCATTTTCAATCGTCTTAATTGAATTGCAGATCAACCAATACTTTCACGACAGGCTGTCGTTGTGCTTTCAGTGAGATGCTTCCGTTTGCAAGTGAAGCTCACGGAATAGAGAAAAATACTACACTACAAATATTTATTTATATGATCCTCCTATAAACTGAGCTTCCTAAGCTGACGCGTCCCACACGTAACATCACGGCTCTGAGGAAGGCGAACTCGCCGAAACGTCAGCCATCGACCAACAACATCAACAACAACGACAATGACAACGACAACGAAGACCCGTACAAACCTCGCGTCAGCTTAAGAAGATCAGTTTATAAGATCATATAAATAAATATAACAACTATTTATGCCGAGGGTTTATTGAACGTCGGTCTTTCGAGACTACACTACAAAGTTTTCAATTGAGATTTCTGAGAGGACTTCGTCTCACTTCGCAATCACAGTAGCCGCAGTTTTCATCACACCTTGCTAGTACTATAAATCAGTAAACAATAAGGTGGTGAACAATGATTTTTTCATGTAATGTGGCTTCTTTTTATCACGGCTCACCACACTTATTTACTTGATACTTGAACGGCCCGTTCTCAATGGTAGTGTGGGCCCCAGCATAGTCACCATTTTTCGGAGATTTGCTGGTGATGCCATTGTGGTTTCCCGGAGTCCCGAGGTTAGCCCAGACAAAGTCTGGTCCAGATCGTCACTACCACTGACAGTCGCCGCCGTTGTGGATCAGAAGGACAATTGTCACCATGCGACATTGATATTGGTTTACTCTTAGCTGGGCTTTCTGATGGAAATACTGGACCACTTCTCAGCTTGGGAGACTCCGCTGCGGAAACGAATCCCCCCTCTGCATATCGCAGTCCGACACTCAGAAACACCTCCCAGCAACGATGAGGCGGTAAACCGCTGAGAGGTTAATACTATAGATGTTTAGGTTGAAAAATTCACATAAATGAATGCATGATTTATTCCAATCGCTTCACAGGTGAGCTCGAGTTTCAGTTGGCTGTCGTAATTGCCGTGGAGAAGTTCGTTCCAAATGGTCCCGATCCCAACATACGAACTGATCTGTTCACTACACTTTGCCACATCGCTGTTGATCAATTCGCCATGATAATGTTTGTGGTCTACACAGAAGTTTTTTATAAAGAAATTGTATAAAAAGAATAAAATTCTAACTGAAAGCGTTCCTGAAATTGTTAAGTGTGTAGGGGGAATAGCTTCGATATTCATGGGCATATCTAGCCGACACATAGGGGCTGCCCCCATTCCCATGCGGCATAGGGAGGTAACCGCATTACCGACGACGATGCAGTGAGGCACCTCATGCCGCGTGGAACTGTAAGTAATTTCTTCAATAAACCGTTCGTTTCCACGAAAAAGTCCCAAAAACTCCAGAATTAGTTTTGCCAGTGATCTTCTGATCTTCTTTACTTGTATAAAACTACGAGATTAAATATTGGAATAATTCCTCTGATAGTCCTCTGAAATATGGAACTTCTTCGACAGCGGGAACTCTTTTAATAAAAGCATTGCAATTCGAATAGAGATTCGAATTTCTTATTTGTTCGTTGGTCCTTATAGCTTCTTATTAATTTGCCGTAGTAAATACGTACAGTCCTAACTGAAACTCTTGAGATTCCTCGCTAGAAGAGGAAATAATCTATTTGTTAGAGAACTGCACAATGGAAGCGGCGAAATTTGAGCATTCCATCGTGTTCGTGGTTTCTTCGAGAATATATCATCTCCCTCATCTCCCGCTTCAACTTCAGTACCTTCAGCAGAATTCACTTCGTCACAACCTCTGCTCAACAAGGTGGTTCTGAATCATAGCGATTTTCCTCCATGTTTACGTCATTTTGCGCAAGAATAACATGACTGCAAGTGATACCAGGGTTAACTTTGACAGTCTAGAGCGTACACTATTAGGGAATTTTTTACACGATAAGACATCACGTGTTGTACGGATCGCACCATTTCTTGAATTTCTTTCGTTTTCACTCATCCATCGTCTACAAAAATCTTCATATTTTCTTGTAGCTTCGATTGCTGTTTTACGACTACTGTGTCTCTTCCTGAATGTCTTTGAATACTGGCTGAGTCGATTTGACTTCGCATTCATAGGGAGCTGTGCTAGACAGTTTTTCATTGGATGTGAAGGAGTGAGTTGGGGTTTTCGTGACAGTGTTGAAGAAGCTGCAACTCTTTTAAACACTTATGCTACATTTGTAAATGCGCTTTCGTGATGTTTGAAGTGAAGAACTCACAATTCATATTCGCTGCTCCGTCAGCAGTAATTTGCTCGAATTGCAACGGAGTATAGTCTATCCGAACAGTGAGCTGACCCAAAATGACTGCGATTATGGCATCAGAGAGCCCAGCGCTACGACCTTGCTGCTCGAGAACATCAATGACCTCAAGAAGGAAGTTCTTCACTACCTGATAGGGTTTACATAGTTTTCAAATTACCCTGAGTTATGATGACAAACTCTGTTGAAATCAAAACGATCAAGTGTCTGAAAATTTAAATCCACTTTCTACAGTCTTACAAAAATCGTGGAAGAAGAACTAGAAATTCAAGAGCTGTGAACTCACCGCTTGCATTACAATACGTGATACAAATGCCCGAGCTCCCCCAACGCTAGTTGCAATACCAGGAAACCGCGCGGGAAGATTGGGGTTGGTCGAGTAGACCATGGCCGTTGGCAAGGTGAACCTGGTGATGCTGAAGCTTCTCGTGCTTGCTGCAACGACATTCCGTAGTTCCGTTGTGAAAAATTAAAAATAGTGCTAGCTAACAAAATACCGACTGTTGCTGGGTGGATTGCCTGTTGAAAGACAAGTTATCATTAATTGATAATCATATTAACAACAACCGCTTTGTATAAAAGAGCGTCGCCATGTGCGTTCGGCTCATTCGAGATGCTCAACAGTGGAAGATCCGGCTCGATGCGAGACGAAGACGCCACGTCGAGAAGAGAAACAACTGTGGACCATCGACAAGGATCTGATGAAGACGAAGACGTCGAAACGCCGAATAAACAACTCGTATCCACCTTGAGCAAGCTCAACAATATGAACAAATGTTGATTATTATAGTACCGAGGTTAAATGACGGTCGGTTTCAGAATTAAATAATTCTGTTCGATGTATTTTCCTAGCACTTTTTTCTTCTTTTGCTACTTTAAAATAAAAAACTTTACATCAAACGGTTTGACTTAAAGCGGCTCGTGAAAAGTGATGAAGTGTAAAATGCATTTACTCTGCGGTCTGGAGTATTGCCAATATCTCAGCATCACTTTGGTTGGATTTCACATAACACCCTGCTGTGAAAAATTGTGGTAGATAGCAAATGACTAGCATACGTTTGCTCTGTTCAAGACTCTTCACTTTATCTTTAATATTGCATGTGTGTGTGTACTCCCATGATAATTTTCTATTGATTACCTTGACCAAGTGGCATCATCCCACAAGCGAACACTGTCCAGGCGTTCGTTAGCACCAAAATCAGAAGCGCCAGAAGTTTCGCCACCAGAAATACAAACTATTATTAAGGAAGAAGCATATCAACAACGACCGCCCTATATAAAAGAACGCTTCTGGGTGACCATGGCTCATTCGTGCGGTGTTCACTGAAGAAGATCCCGTCTAGGTACGACAACGAAGAGGCCACATCGAGATACCGAACAACTGTGAACCACCGACACGGATCATCGGCTCTGATGAAGACGAAAATGTCGAAACTTTAGCCGTAATAAACATGTTTATCCATCTCATGCAAACTCAGCTATTTAAGTATATGTTTTGCGATTCCTTCATTTCTCCAACAGAGCTAGGAATCGACAAGTATTCTTCCACTGAAAATCTAACACGTAGTTGATGGACCACTCTATTCAGCCAAAGTTTCGAAACATAGTTAGGCACCTCATATCCGCTGGATTCCTCCCCAAATTCTTCGAAGCGACATTTATCACAAATTCTGGTGACAGGAAGCACACGAGAAGCGGTTAATGACGAAGAATATTTAACGAGTGTTGAATGAGAACAAGGTGCGTGGCGGCAACACTACTTTAAAAATTGGAGGAATGGAGTAGTTCCTCAGGTGTCACGATTTGAATTGGGTTCCCAGCATTTCGCTCGCCCCGCTGCGGCATAAAATCCTGAATTTTCCATGAATATAAAGAAATTTGCAATCGAGAAGACGGTGCTTTTACAAGTGCACATATGCGAAACAGCCGAAAAAGAAAATATCCATTGAAAAATACAAAAGGCAACTTTCTCTGTTAAACGTTCCTTGCGGCAAGTTACTTAACTGCACAAATCGTATTCGTTTAGCCCTTACTTTCCCAGTAGCCTCCTCCATTTAGTACGGCTCTGAAATCTCCGGAAAGGTTGACTGATAGCAGAAACAAAGGCTGCGAAACTTTACTGAAGGGTTAGAAAACGGGTGTCGGATAAGATGGTACCAAAAATCTGCCAATGCGAAAAGGGAAAGTGATACCGCATTAGAAATGATGATAGATAAAATAACTACATTACAGCGTCAGGAGTTGTCGTGACGGGCAAGAATCCTATATTTTGTTGGAATTGCCATTGCATACAGATCAGAAACGAATGTGGACATTCGGAAGAAAGTGACTGACACGACATGGAGCTGACGTTTCCCTACTAACCTTATTAAACATTTGGGCTTTTCAACCAAGGTAGATCTTTAGGGAACGCCTCCAGTTTCCAACAATTTCTCAACAAAACAAAATTTGTTTTTGTTCATTCCGTCTGACAAAGTCTAATGTCATTCAAATCATGGTTGCAATGACCATTACTACTGTAGATGTCTGGACGAAGATCTCTAGGAGAGGTCAAAACCTTGTTTTCTAATAGCAATTCGACTAATCGAGTATCCCAAGTTTTTAAAGTAATCCGAATCTTTTTTTGTCAAAAACATCTTTTCAAAAACCCTGCTGATTTTTACTAGAATAAGAATTTCACAGAACTGCATTCGATGTAATTTCAGCGTTTTTGCAAAAGGATATCAGTCGAACATGTTCACCACCTCATAAAATTGCTGTGTGGCACAGGTGACTTGGACATCGGTTTTTGAAGAGCTGTTTACTGACAGCTGCACATCAAGCGAGTAGAATATTGTTCCAGAAAACATTACATTAACTACTTGTGCACAATACTGTACTGATCGAAGCACTGGATCAAGCCGACGGTTTTGCTCATTTCCAATACTCCAGCGAGAATTCTTCGACTCGGAATGTAATAGAATCAGGTTCCTCTTTTTCGTCGATGACAAATCGCAGATGGCGTCAGAGCTTAGAATTATCGTCCCTGTTATTGGTTTTTACGAACGCTGACTAAAGCTGAGTAAGCAGTTCCGCGTTGTAGCAGTTCCGCGCCGTACTAGTTGAATTGCTAGGCGACGAGCTGTTTCGCAACAGCATTTCCACTGTGCTTTTAATGAGGTAGCGTAATCACTTCAAAAACTCCTTGGCACTCAAATGGTCAGCGCATTTAGGCATAAACTGCGAAGGTCACTGCTCGATTTCTTGTAGGCTAAGAAGCATTCTAGGACCGGTATTTTCGCTCCTCATCGAATGCTCAGCAAATTTTTCACGTAGCATTGCTTCTTGGCAATAGAGACAACGGCTCGTAGGATTTTCTTGCAGGCGTGTTAACCAAAAAACCTTTTTTAAATATTGTGCACATAAAGTCTCAAGCAGGAATATCAACGCCTACTTCTAGCAGACATCTAAGCAATTTGAGCGCCACCTGGAGGTGTGAAGAATTATAAGAGAAAACACTACGCTCGCCAGGTCTTCTCAAGCAACATGAGCAGGGAACTTGCCTTCCTAAGTATTCGTTGCTGAAAAGGATTCATTCCTTTTGTAACAAAGTATTTTGTGCACTCATTTCATAAATGCCTATCTTCTTATCTGAATATCGATTTAAGAAAATTTTGTAGCGCAAAAGTTCACGGCAGAATTACAAGTTTTATCGTCTCACGGAGTTTCATCGTTGTGTATTCGTTTATAGAAAGCTCATAAACGGTAATAATTTCAAAACGTCATTTTACACAGACTTGTCAAAATAACCTACGAATAACTCGAAAGACCGACTTTCTATAAACTTCGGCATAGATAGTTGATATATTTATTTATGTGACCTTATAAACTGATCTTCTTAAGCTGACGCGAGGTTGGTACAGATCTTCGTTGTCGTTGTCGTTGTTTTTGATGTGATTGATCGATGGCTGACGATTCGGCGACTTCGCCTTCCTTAGAGCCGTGATGTTACGTGTGGGACTGTAGACATAGGAATACAACATAGGACATAGAAATATAGGTTTCTTGACATGGTTACAATAAATATAGAAAATCTGTTTTTTCCAGGTCACTTGGAAAAGTACATGCACCCGAATAAAGACAGCGGCATCACTAGCTGAAACCACGGCGAGTTATGTTGAGCTATGAACGTTGAAGTTCAAAATCGATTTTGTGAAAACCTTCAAGACAAAATGGGAAATTATTCAGGCTTTCAAAAGTCCTTATTTCGTTTGAAATAAAGAATAAGAGGAAAGGAGCCTTATTTTCGCAAGAATTATTGTTCTGGGGTGCGTTTTTCCTCCATGCCTATGCCGAGAATCTAAAGTTTCGTAGCCATTTGAAATGGCTATTTGGCGAGCCAGTTTAGAGGATCCTTCCCTCTGATCTCTACCTGTGCACACGCTGGCAGCAGTTCGAAACATATTCATAAAAACATAAAATGGTTCCTTATAAGCGCTGTTTTAGTGTGTGAGGGATGAGAGGAGAGGGAATGAACCACTATATTCTTTCTGCTTGGCTTTCGATACCATTTTGTGTTGCAGCTGTTTTCAGATAGGTTGATTTGAACGTTTACAGATTTTAGCCCGTTCTCTTTCGGTTTCTCCAGAGTAGACTTAATGTATTCAGACTGCTCATTCAATAACTCAAAGCATTTGCTCATCTCCTCTTGAGTAGAGGAAATGAGGAAACAGTCGTCTATGTACCGGCAGTAAAGTAGCGACCTGAGATCGATAACGTGGCTTCTATTCTAGACCTGAACGCGATGGCAAGTTGGTGCCAGCCGCCCTCCTATTGCCAGCTCTCTCATTTGCGCGTAATATTTCCCAGACCATCCGAAAATCGAGCAGTTTAAGCACTCTTTTAAGAGAACCATAAGCTGCTGGATGGACAAGCCATGCATTTTTGTTCGTCCTTCATATTCAACAAGAAACTCATGCCTGGATGGCTTGCATTGCTGAGTCATTAGATACGCTGGTGTAATGGGCGTAAACGTCGAAGGGTTTCACCACGTCCGCGTTGTTAGGAGACGCGTTACGTAGACGTTCTAGGAACATTTGGGTGTTAATGAAGTGAGCTGGAATATGGCTAAGCACTTAGATAAGTACGCGTACGTGATGAAGTCCTTCGATGGTTAAGCAGTGGTTGTTTTACACCTCCTCTGGTGCTTTATGCTGTTCGAACAGAAAGCCCTCCGAAATTTGCTGTGCTCTGGCTCTGTTTCCATTCTTAGGCTTCCTAATCGACAAAGTTTCAAAACTTCCTAAAAATTCACGGCTCAAATCACTTTGTAGTGAAAGCTAACATCACTAAAACGTATAAGAAAATGATCTCAAGTCATCTTTATTGCTTCGAGCTATTAATGAGTTTCTTTTCGAGGCAAAGAAAAACCGTTCTATAAGGTAATCATTTTTTATTTACTGCCTATTCTTTTCTTATAGCAGGTATGATGTAAAATACAGCTGCAGTGATGCTGAGATATTTGCAAAACTCCGGACCGCAGGTGTCTGTGGCGGGGATCGAACCTCGTTATTACCCTTTCCGAGGACGAACGTACCCACCACCACACCATGCGTGACCTCCGTTCCACCTTTTCCCAGCCGTGTTTTATAGACGGTATAAACCTTCCTGTATATCCTTACAATAGATCAGTATGGATATTGGTAAGCTAAC